TTGTCCAGGCGCCCACGTGCCGGGCAATTTACCCGGTATTAGTTCGCGTAGTTTTAAGTAAGTTTGTAATAGGTTAAGTATGCGATTTGGTATTAGGATAAAATGCGAAATGTTCATTTGTGATTATCTTAAGTAGTTTATTGTTCGATTTGTAGTTTGTTGGTCGGTAATTTAGATTATGTTATGCGCGCGTATGTTCTGTGTGAATAATTATTAATAATAATAGGTTGTAAGTGAGATTTGATTCTTGTCTGTGTATAATTTATTTATCAACCTCCCCTCGTTCTTCTCTCTCAATTGTCATGAGCGAAAGTGCCTCACTTACCCCGCAAAAGAATTGGTAACAAAGGATCGAGTTTTGTTACATTTTAGTTACAATAACAATATTAAATTTTTGTTTTTTGCAAACTTTTAAATTGTTTCGTTTGTCCGAAAGAGAATGAACATCTCTTCTAATGATGAGGGGTTGGGGTGATGAGCAAAGGTCGTATGCTAATATTGTTAATCTCTTTAATAGAACATTTCGAAACGGCAATGGCGAAACTCTGTCTAAATCCACAGTTTTAAAAACCTTAAGACGTTTTCAGGAAACGGGGTCTATTAAAAATCGTTCAGTTACTGGAAGACCACGAACAGCAACAAAAGAAGAAAAATCTTTAGATGTTTTACTGTCTTTTGTGAAAAATTCACACGAATCATCTCGATCAGTAGCTTTACAACAGGAGATCGATCAAAAAGCTGTTCTTGAAATTTTAAAGGTACACAAGTTTCATCCTTATACAATGAAATTTGTATAGGAATGGAATGAGGATAATCCTGATCGTCGAGGAGAATTTTGTGAGACAACGATGCAAATGATTACTGAAAATTCAATATTTTTACAAAATGTTTTTTTAGACGAAGCGACATTTCAATTAATTGGCGAAGTCAATCGTCATAACTTAGGATATTGGTCCAACACAAATCCTCATTGGATGAGAGAAAGTCACACTCATTATCCTAAAAAATTAAACGTGTGGGTAGGAATAGTAAGCGATACAATAATAGATCTCTTCTTTTTTATCGAAGGAAATTTGAACGCTGTAAGTTATAAACAACTTTTGCGAAATGAAATTGTTCCAGCTATCCAAGCCTTAAGAGGTGATGATTTTGAAAATACATGGTTTCAACAAGATGGTGCTCCAGCTCATTACGGTGTAAATGTTAGACAATACCTCAATGAAACATTTTTTGATAGATGGATAAGTAGAAGAGGTACAGTAGAGTAGGCTCCAAGATCTCCAGACTTAAGCCCTTTGGACTATTTTTTATGAGGGTATTTAAAGATCGGGTATACAGAAGTAATCCACAAAATCTTGAAGAATTAAGACGTAGAATAGTTCAAGAAATTAATGTCATTCCACGGCAGATGATCCAAAATGCAACTCAATCATTCTACAATAGGATTGGTTACTGTCAAGAAGCGAATGGACAATAATTTGACCATCTGTTGTAAATTCATTTACGCGAAAGGCAAGAGGAACTCACTATTAAAAAGCACCCCGAAGTGAGAGGCAAGGGGAACTCACTATTAAAAAGTATCCCGAAGTGAGAGGCAAGGGGAACTCACTATAAAAAAGCACCCCGAAGGGAACAGATTCCTTCTACGTCCACGTCGTTGTTCCTGGATAGCGCTAAAAGGAGGATTAGGAGTCACGATATCTTCGAACTTGAATCGTTCCCACCCGTAAAATTTATCGCTCTTTTTGATTCCACTATAAAAAATAAGGGTTCCCATATGAAAAAATAAGGTTGACCTTGAAATAACCTTGAAATTAAGGTTAAAGGTCAAATGTAAGGTTACCATTGGGTTCCTCGTTGAAAGTTACATATAACCTTTGTTTCATGACTAACCTCATGCGGTTTTCCGAATTTTCCGGGGTTTCCATACTTTTTCCTCACCCTATATATTATCCTTTGTAAGTTAGCATGGCCTTACGGGGAAAGAAAGCCGTATTTGAAACTTTGTTTATTGATGAGAAATCCATTCTATAAAATAAAAATCAAAGAATTAGTTGATTATTTATTTATTACTAGGGTATTAATGAACTAAAATTATTTAAATGTCTTACTTGTTTCAATGGTTGGTAGTAGATCTACTCGAGGTTAAGGGTAAGACTGCTGGTTGAGCGAAAGCTGAGCAAGTGTACTGAACAAGAGTGAGCTCTCGGTTTTATTAGTGGCAACCCCACTCTTAAAGCTCAAATCGCCGTCACTGCTTCCCTCTCTTTCAGTCTCCCGTCTCTAACGATTCTTCCTCTGAAGCTATTCTCTCATTCCGTAGATTCTGGTATCTATTGTTTCTCCCTCTTAATTACTGGTTGTGAGTGACATCTGTTAACTGTCGAAGGAGTAGAGTTCTCTCGCTAGTGTTGCCTTCTACAATCATTTTCTTTAATTCTCGATCTTTTCGCATTGCTGTTTTTTTCTATCATTTCATCTTCTTCTCTGTGCCTCTTACTTACACTCTCACACTCTTACGAAGTGTGTCCGGATTATTATCAAAAATGCAGCGTTTATCAACATGAGGGCTTAGTGCTGTCTTTTCCTCTCTCGCTGTTATTATTTAATTTAATTTAAATCGAATATTACATTGGGTACGTTTAATAATTTCTATTTCATTTAAACACTTTCGATAATCTGACTGAGTGATTGTATTTTTTACTGTACGTTTTTTCACTCCATTTTCTTTATTTGCTATTTCAATACTGTATAGTTTACTTAATAACCCAATGTACTCTCTCATAATAGCAGCATTGCACTCATCTTTCATGACTCCGAGAACTTTTTTGTTAGCGAGAGGCATACCAAATTGATTATCAACTGGAAAGTGTAATGTGTCAAATTTATTAATGTCTGCTTTCATGATCTCATATATATCAACGTATTGAATTTCATAAATGAGACTGTCCTATCAATATAGAGTAATTTGCATTTTTCACCAATTCGTCGCTTCATATATCCATAATGAAAGTGACAGACTAATGTTTTTGAAAGATCTAGTACATGTAGATATAGTACAATTTATATAGGTTTTCTAATACTGATAGTTGTCCAGGATAATTGAATAGCTGCTAAATTTTCATGAAAGATGGAACTACTATGAAAATTTGGCTGTGCAATTCGAGCTTCAGCACCATATCTACCACTCTACTGATTGACTAGTTTGACATATTTTCTTTTTCTTTCGTTTTTATATATACTACATTAATCATGAGCTTGTAAAATAATTTTTCAAACTCATTTTTAGCTTGTTTCCTTTTTGTAGCTTTTTTCTGTATTTAAATCAACGTATAGTTTCAGCCATAGTTTTTGTTATTGAATTTTAACGCTTTATATATTTTTTTGAGTTTGTGTTCATATTTAAGAGCTTATTTTAATGCTCTATAATGAATAATGTATCGTTCTTTATCATAAAACGTTGTTAAAAATTTTTTTTGTTTTGATCCAGGTGATCTAGTATGTTCTAGACAAAGAGGATGGTCTTTATAATCATCATGTAGCTCTTACGGATACTCTGATCTACTTTTGAAATATAGCCAACGTCACTACCAACGGTTACATTGTAAAAATTTGACTCGTCTACATTTGAAACCCATTTAAAGCCCTCATATGGTAGTGATTGAGCCGTAGCCTAACCGTAAAGCTTATTTACGTCATAATGCATTAAAATTTTACTTGGCTCGTCCTTATTGAGTTCTTCTCCCATATATTTATTGTTTGCCTTTGAAAATCTATTGCAGCATTGACTAATACCTTCGCGAATACCTTTTTGAATGAATAATATCATATCTATATCTGTTAATAGTTCATAATTTTATAAATGCTAGTAGTTTTATAAATGCAAAATTTTTTTGTATTGAAATACTTGATTTGAATATCTTCTTCTTGGTTTTTCTTTATGAATATAAATTGTGCTGCCATTTCTGTATTTGCTTTTAAGTTATTGTGAATAGCAAGAAATTGTGGTATTTCAATTTGTAAGAATTGATTTGCAGCAACTAGAAACGTTTTTATATCGAAGTGATGTTGATTAACTATATATGCCGTACTAATTCGATTTTCAAAAGTTGAATGAATTGGTCTCCAAACAACTCCATCTCCTGAAATTTCATTTTAAATAGCCGTTAAAGGATATACACTTCAGCCAGCTTTTATAGATTTTCTTAAATTGACTTCAAGAGAATTCAAAAGACAAGCACAAGTTTGACATTTTTGCCGAATTGCTCCTCTTAAATCAGGCCGTTTCATGAATTCATTAATTGAATAGCATTAATTGCTAGATTTCTCCATCTAATACAATCATCTATGTCTAAGTCTTTCGAATAATTATAAGCTTTCCACAAATTTTTAATTGTATCTTCAAAATAAGCGATAGAAGTTATGTTAGTTATCTGGTTTATTGTCTCGTAGAGTCACTTGTCTGTAGTTGTATAAAGGATTATTATGATAAAGGATGAGAAAGGTAGCGAATAGCTCTAAAATGAACTCGTTCTTAGTTGGTAATTAATATTTGTTTAAAAAATCTTGCAAATGGAGTAAGGTAAGGCAAGCTTAGCTCGTAGGTTGTCTCGACAGACTGCACTCTTTTGCTAGGCCGAACCGGTTTATAAAGGCTAAGTTAGGGCACTGCCGATAAAGTGAGGACGCTGCCGGTAGAGTGAGGGCACTGCTAGCAAAGTGAAGGCACTGCAAGCAACACTATTGGCTGTCTAGATAGCATATGGAAGGGATACCTAAAGCGAAATAGTGGGGGAGAACCGACTGTAGCACCCTCTAACTTATCAATTTATTATTAAAGGGTTTAAATATAGATCTTCAAAATAAAAATATAGTCATTATTGCCTTGAGATACGATTCAGCTCACATATCATAGAGAATAATTGGATTTATACTCTAAGATGGACTATATTTTAGATATTCAAGGCTTTCAGAGTCCTAATAATATTTTTATTTGTAAGGAGTTTGCCTATATACCAGTATGTATTAATACTTCACCTACAGTACTACTTTTTAAACCTCCATAACGTTGGCTCAAACTGCCTATTGAATATCAAAGTGTTAATAAGTGATTGGAATTACATTATCATGGTATTTATTTTTTATTATCGTTAATTAACATTGATTTTATTTCAAATATTTAATATATTCAATTTTATAGGTATATTATGGAGAAATGGTATAATAACATATAATCTTTTCAATTACAATATAAGTAGTCATTTACATTATTGTAGAAATATTTATATGAAAAGATTACAAAAGAAGCAATGGCTCAAAAAAATTATTCCTGAAAAGTAGGTTTAAATAATTTATAGTAGAATGTAATTATAAATTTGAATTTAATTATTTTTTCAATTACAGAAACATTTTAGATATCGAAACTGAAATGAGATGCCCGCGATTGGAAGATTTAAGTGTTAAATTTAAATCATCATGCATATATCATAGTTAAAATCGAGAGAATATAGCATGTGCTGCGGTAAATACACAAAGGATATACGATTGGGTGATGGAAAGACAAAAACAAGTAAAATCAAAAGGAATCGATATAGTTGAAAGATTTACAGATCACTATAATTTGTATAAAAATTCAACTGAATATTTTAAAATAGCTATGTTGGATACTGAACATAAATATTATAGACAAAGTGTACTCTACTCAATGTATAATTAAAAATAATAAATATTAAGTAAAGAATAAAATGTGAACTTACTTAACTAATATATAACTAATTACAATAATAAAATAGTCATGGGTGAGAAGGATAGGATACTCTCTTAGTAGAGACTCTCTTAGTATTTCAAGGAGTGAACAACCAAGCGATTACAAGAAAGGGTGAATGGATGGAAATAAGGTTCTCTCCTAGTAGAGATATTTAGGAGGAACATCTCAAGGAGGTGACAGTTGATCGACTGTGCTGGCAGTCTCTACCATTTTCACGAAAACAGCTATGGTAGTAAGTGAAGCTCCCTCCGTGGAGAGAGAGAGAGAGAGAGAGAGAGAAAGAGAGAGCACGCGTTTACTACTATACCAGCGCATCCCCAAACCAAAACTATAGACAGCATGCGCTACCCTCCTCCTCCGCGCACCATGGTCCCAAGCCACATTGAGCCAGAGCGAGAGGGAGAGAGAGAAAGAGAGAGGGAGAGAGATAGAGAAAGAACGCCGCCAAGCCAAGCTGAAAACGCGCTCCCCTTCACCGCACACTCTAATATACACAATAAGGATTCTCTAAGGTAAATGTGGCATTGGCCCTAGAGCGCTAGCCTGCCAACCCAGAGGACGCCGGTTCAATTCTTCGATCTGTCTCTTCATTTTTTCAATGATCACTTTCTATTCATTTTCAATGTAGTCATTAAATTATCAATAATATTTATAACTTTTCAAAATACATTTAAATAAATTAGATAGAAAGCAGTAGGGTCCATAGGGACTAGAAGCCCTAGAAACCTTTTTCAATATAAAACCCTTCCTCAAAAATTGTAAATAATTATTAACATTAATAATAATTAACATGGAAGGGTTAGGCCAGAGAACCAAAAGCCAAGAACCCCCGCAGATATTATTAATAATTATTATTAACATGAAAGGGTTAGGCCAGGGGCCGAAAAGGTCACGGACCCCCCGCAGGGTGGCCTGAAACAGACATTGCTATACTACTGTTGATGTTCGGCAAGCTAACATTGTATAAATCCACAACGGCTGTAGAGAATCTTACTACATTTCTTTCCATCACTCGCTTTACTTCATGATTTTGCGCTCGTTTTCAGTAGCGCGAAATGTGTGCGCATCAGTATCGGGTTTTATAGGAACAGACCGAGGCGGCGGTTACCCTCACAGCGAGGAATGACAATAACTTTGACGAAGTTAAAAAAAATTATTATTTATTTGACCCAGCATTACAATTTATTTTCTTCATGGAGATGTTAGTCAGCAGTGATATTTTGAATGTAATGAAAATATGTATTATATTTTTTTAGGGCATATCATCATCAAGCGAAAAATTTTCAATAAAAAAAAAGTGAAACATTTTTCTCTGAAATATGAAAATCTATGAGCTGCGCATACAAGCAATAGAAGATGTGACATATAGGAAGAGAGAGGCAACGCTAGACGCTAGGGCTAAGACGAGTGGCACAAAACTGGGAAAAGAAGCGATGCCGAAAACGCGAGCGCGACCGCGGGAGTGATCGCTTTTTCGGCTCCGATTATAGGACGCACCACACGTCAATTGAGTGACAATCGACGCGACATTAAGAGCTTCCGAGCGATTAATAGGACGACACTTCGACGGCCTCTCTTTATATCGGGTACATATTACGCGATCGAAGACCTCCCAGGCAGCGCCATCGCGAGAAAGTATAATACGGTGACGAGATCGAGGCGTAGCGTAAATCGTCTAATTAAGTAAGCTAATTTAGCCCGTTTACTCTCTCTCTCTTTCTCTCTCTCTTCCAATCAAAAAAGCTGTAAATCAGCTAACTTCTCAGCGAAGTTGCGATGATTATATATATTCATTAACTTTTGAGTTTCTTTCAGCTCACCGCAGACCAGCTGCGCGACAGCACGTTCGAGCACAATAATAGGGCAACGGCCATCTGAGTCTAATAAGGCAAGGATAGATAACGAAGAGGAGGGCCTGGAAGGCTCGTTGTCCCCGTATGAGCCACCAATTATTGCTAAACGGCGTTATGCTCGACTTTGCGCGAGGCCACATCGCTCATCGGTCAATGCGCGTTTAGTTACACTCCTAACCTTGCCTTCAGCCCGCATAATCGCCCCTTTACAATACATGAATTACAGGAATCCCTCGATATTTCTAGTATTTTCGAGGTTTCGCAAATTTGCGGTTTATCAATTGAAGAACAGTTTCTCTATTTGCGGAAATCGGACTCGCTTATTTGCGATTCACTTCATTATTATGTGAAATTTAAAAATATTTGTGATAATATGTGAGCTGAAAATTCCCAAGCCTAACAATGAAAATTCAGTTTCTTTTATTTAAAATTGACTTTACTCATTAATGTAATATCCATCAAAAGTAACACGATCGTTTCAGTGCCGCACAGTGGGCTAAAATTTTCGTTTTTGAATAAAAGCAAATATCTTGAAACTAAGCAGATATAAGCAAATGATTGAACCAGCATTTTGAAGCTCTAGTAATGCTAAACAGAGAAAAAATAGTCCGGTTCATTTAAAATAAATATTTTACCTTCACGTTAAAGGTCTAAGTTACCATTTTTTTTAAATTACCGCTTCTTCTTCAATTTAGCCATAATTAAAAAAATTTTTTTAAAAAGTAACTTGATATTCTTATTCCTCTCGAAAAAAGAATGGGAAATACGTTTTCAAATTTTTCTTTTCCTTCAATGCTTATAGAGATAATAAAGATCAAATCATCTACTTACGTGATATTGATTTATTAAAAAAAAAAAAAAAATTAACGTCTTTTCTATAAAGTGGTATTCTGCAATTATATCAAAGTCAATTTATTTCCCAGTGCAGTTCAAACTCCACACGAGAAAGTATTTGACTTCTGAATGACCTAACCAATACTATTTCATATTGTAAAAATCACACACGTGCGCGCATGCATGGGTATCGTAACATTTTATATTTGTATTCGTCTAATGCGAAATATATAGCTACATAAATAAAGTAGTAACCAGAACGTTCGTAAGCATAGACAGATGCAAGGATAATACATACAATAACTGCAGTTGATGCTCGACGTAAAACTGCAACAAAAAACCAAAAAAATGTTTTTCACTGAACCGAAGAGTTCTTTTCAGAAAACTTTGGAAGTCTTGTTTTCTTGATTTATTTTAGAAATTTTTTTTTGCGTAAAACTGCGAGTTGAAGTGAACGCATCGAAGAGCTAGTTTTGTAAGTCTTCCATCACGATTTATTGATCATAATAGTGTATCGAGCTCAACGAAAATTATTGTATAGGTGTAATATAAAGAGAAGGTAAGAATAATGTAATACTTTTAAGCAAATGAAAGTCTAAAGAGATCTAATTTACTATGTGTGAATAATTCAATTTATTTGATGCTTACAAAATTTATTAACGGCACTTTTTCCTCATAAAGATTTATTTTTTCTTAAAAAATAGTCCTTTTGCCTTCAAACGATAATTGAATTTATTTTAATTGTTCAATCTTAACTTTAAACCAAGTTGAGATTGATATAAAATGAACGTTTTTGTCAGTGTAGAAATGAATAAGACATTATCGGAATATTTTTTTTTGATTGTATATACAATACATATCATAAGTTTTTGATTATTTGGAAATTGGAAAAAATGACATTGTTATATTCGTAGGTAAACCAATGACTGATGATTGATTCTTTTCAAAGATAATGTGTTTTGCTTTATATATCTGGATTTTATTTCACATCGATTTAATCAACAATATAATTATATAATTATTGAATTTTCAAACAAATTTTTTTTAATAACACTAAATGTTTGCGAGAAAGGTGTCAATAGATTCGTAACTTTTCTTGAGAACATCACATAAATCTTAATTGATTTATATTATTCAATAGTATTTACATTCAGATATACAAGATGGGTCGAATAGCAAATAAGCAAATGAAAAGAAAAGTTAGGCTGAAAAAAGTCAGTCGTTGCAGAATTAACAGTGGTCGCAAAAATGTAAACATATTAAGTAATGTCTCGCGAACAAATTTGAATAGACGAGTTTAAGATCTGCTGAATAACCCTAATTATAATACTGTAGCAATATCTATTGCAAATAAGCAGATAAGTTCTCAAAACTCAACACAAAATGCAGAGCTTAAGAATGATCCACTTGCAAAGAAGCGTATACTTAGTTCGGTTTTAGCTTTTCTCATAGAGAATAATTACACTACAACACAGTATAAAGCAATGTTTTCTGATATAAAATCATTAGGATATAATATTTATCCTAATTACGATACTATTCGTCAAGAAAAGAAGAAGTGTTATCCACGTAAATATGAGATACAGAATGGCATAGAGGTAAAAATTGCAATATTTCATTTAATGCAAATAATTTATACGATTTTTACAGAATATTTTATAAAAATAGAATGTTTCTAAAAATATGCTACTCGATCAATTTTCTATTACCCTAATTTTATCACGTTAATTGTCACTCTAAGACTTAGTACTTTATTTTCCTCTTTGATAGATCTGTATGTCTTTACAAAAGCTTCTCAATATAACTGGCGAGCAATTGTGTGAAGCAGTTGTACTCAATTGGCCCAGCAATAGTTATTGTAAATCAATTTTCCGACTTCAGAAATATCGAGTATAAATAGGTAAACCCGAACCCTACTCCCATGAGCGTTAAGTTTTTTTAGGTTGGTAAGAATTTCTTATCAGAAGAAGCTACTGTGTCTACAAAAGAAGAGTACAATCGAATTTTGAACGAAATAAAGTTTCTTACTTGTTATCATTCATTTCATCACATGGACGATCAATACGTTTGAAGTATGAAGTTTTCCCTACTTTGTTCGACGGAAAGTATTTGAATACTATTCTGG